TGTAATTTTTTAAATTGTAATAATGATTAAATTTCTTTAATTCCTAAAAATGAACACGTGGGCATGTAACCGTATACATTCGGTACATAATTATATACATTCTATTCAACGAAACTAATATAATATTACAATTAATGTAAAACGTACTATGACATATTATATCGTAAATCATTATTCATTATGTATAGTTATCTACAACAATTTTGCAATATTGGTGTCACAATAGCGTAGGTGTATAATAATATGTACGTAAAATATTTTTTTTGCTCAAATAGTTAAAGTATATTCTAAACTTTTGATTTTGAAACCTACATTAACGATTGGGTAATGAATATGATATAAATATTTGAACTTTTAAAAATTATATATTAAGATTTAAACAACGAATTAACATAAAAAGTATTATGTCATCAATTATTAACTATGCATTTTTATCTCGTCTTTCATTTTAACAAAGGCACAATTTTTTTTTATTTCATCTAAGTTTACTAATATACATGATATTTTTTGTTTGCACCTTCCGCAATGACATTTAAGAGAATCGCAACATTTTTCAATATCACTGTTAATGTCGTCGACTATTGTTATAATGTTTAAACACAATAATACTACATGAATGATTATTGACTATTGTTCAATCATTTAACCAAAGGAAATTATTGTGTAATACTATAATGTTTGTTCTATTTTTTATGTTTAAACTGTTATGATTACTATACATTTACATTTTTTTTAAGTTTGAAGAGTAGACTATAAAACCAAAATTGCAACTTATTTTTTTTTTTCGCTTATTTAGTATCTAATTATGTATACTTATTTATATTTTGACCAACAATTTTAATATCTAATGACTAATTGAAAACAATGCAATTACAGATAACACAAATAATTAATGAATAGCTTTGGATGAACGTACATTTTCAGACGTTCCGGAACATTCCAGGGAATATCTTTCTAGAAATTTCCGTCAAGTTACGTTCCATATAAGTGTCACTGTACACCTCTAGTCATTAACTAATATACTACTCGTGACCCTAATCTAGCTCACAAAGGTCAGAAACTATATACACATATAAAGATACTATAAATTATATAATCTTCCTACACCACGTGTGCATAAATCCTGAAATAGAATTATCTAACGAACATTTGAAACCACCATAAAATCAACCCACCATCACTTTTGCGTTTTATGAACAAAATATATGCTCATTAATCTCAACAATTTTACCTACGTCAAGTTTGAACGTGTTGGAAGGTTTATGCGAAAAATGTACCCACACTATCAGATCAAACGCTGCCACGATAGAATTTGGTGAATCCAATTTATTTCCAATACAAATTTAAAAAGGAAAAGTAAATATAATATGAAATATATTATCATACCTTCGTATATTTAGGTACTATTGTCACTATATAATAAATGGCATAACAATAATTTATGCCAGCCATCATAGTGGCGACCGGTGGCCAATATCAATAATATTATAGATATTTGGAATTCGTGAAATGTATCAGTTTATATTACCGTTGTGTTTTTGTACAAAAACATTTATACAGAACTTTGTAAGCGTATTAAATATGTACGAAAAACATATAATAAAACCGATATAGATTTGTTAGTTTAAAATTGGAACTTGGTAGTTGCAGTGATAACTGCAGGAAAGTTTATATAATAATATATACTTTTGTATAATACACAAATAATGTTTTATCACGTAAGAGGAGTGTTCCAAGTTTCGTACTACCCATATATACTTTTATTGCTTTTGTGAGAAATTTAAAATGTTAAAACATTATTTTTTGTGAATCTTTAATTGGTCTGCGATGATATATATATTTAAACTTCAGTACAATCACCATATAAAAATAAAACCCCTTTCATTTATATAATAACTAACTATAAAACTATATAATATTAGAATTATTAATTAATTATAAATATTTTAATAACTATTATATAGTGACGTTAGCTTATGCAATATAAACCATATTGAATATACATATAGATACTCAATTCCTAATTATTATTAAAAAAAAGCAAATGATAGGGCTGCACTCATCCTTAAACTAAAGCTAAATTAGATGTTGAAGTACTTTCTGAGATTTTTATGAAGTATTAGAACGACTTAAATATAAAAATGCTTGTATATCCCACTGTTACTGTGAAATTGTAGGTTCTTAGTAAATCTTAAGTAGAACTCGTTTCTTTTTAGTAAGTTTCATATTTGTATGGAAAACTTTGAATAAGAACGTAAAAATGGACGCTATATAGAATAAACTACTGAACAAACGTACACGAGTTACACATTAACAATGTTGGTACCTATACTATATTGTTCTACTGAGTTTTACTTGTACGATGAATAAGCAAATTAATTTTGTTTAATTATGATATTGATAAATGGCAGTGGGGTAGAATGGAATAAGATTCAAATATACTACAGTAAAACAGGACAATTTTAAGTAGGTCAGTAATCGAATATAAACAATTCCGTGAGGATATTTTATTTATGAGATTTGTATTAATGCTTAGTTTTATATAATAGTATTCATAGTTTTTACCAATCAAAAACAAATTATTTATGAAGAACGTATTTGCAAACAATTAGATTTGTGTCTACTTAAGTAAAAGTCTTTAAATCATTGTATGTTTCTAAAATCCAGTGAAACATAAATAGTTGTTAGGTACACTCGAATCCAATTCCAATTAAATGTATAGAAAATAATTTGAATCATATAATGATTAATATACGACAAGACAGATGTACTGAAGATAAAATATCTTGAAGATGTGAGTAGCAAACAATTTAATACCCAATTAATGTTCAGGACGCTATACATAATTTATCATGTATTTTAATATCGAGAACATTTCTGGTTTGCCTAGGTATATCTGAATTGGAGTAAACATTTAAATTGTAACTTTGAATTAAAATGTTGTGCACAAAAAAAATTTAATTTTTTTATTGAATACTGTTAAATTTGTAAATAGTTAGTATATCTAAATTGAGAATACTGTACATGCACCCGTTGAAAAAAATTAATGAGTTAATAACCGTTTATCATTGTTATAAGGTATTATTATTTTTTAAATATTTTAAAAAACATATTATTTACCAAATAGGTTTACGGTATTTACAGTTTAAAATGTATACTTATAGTTGAACTTCAAAATGAAGTTCAAATTCAAATTTCCAATTTAAACTATATTGAATTTAGATTAGGTACCTACACTAATTAAAACATTTTAATATCTTAACTTTCGACTATCTTAATGTTATTTTGAATTTAAATTGTATATTAATAATATTATATACCTACCTAATGTGTGAAGGCTTATTAATATAATAATATATTTATATATATTAATATATACGCATTTTTCTATGCGTGAAATAATTTTAAAATTCTAACTTATAGCCATTTAAATAACTATGTAATCATTTTTTTAAATAGTTATTTATTTTTATAATAAATGAAATATTATTGCATTTTTTGTAGTTGTCATGGTATAATATCTAGCTACATAATAATATTGTATTAAATTGCATAATATTAATATCTTCATTCTCATTAATTCGATAATGCATAATAACATATCTAATTATTCATGAATCATAATACATTAATAAGTATTTAAATGTTTATGTTTATTTGTATGTTAATTATATTTTTAAAAAAACTTTGTCTATTACCCAAGAGTTAAAATTTAGCATGCAATTATAATTGATTAATTTCTAATGTTATAGTATTGAAACTATATTACTTTGACATACATTCAAATATTAATTTACGATAATTCTGTAACAGGGGCCTAAATAATACCAGATATTATTTTCAAATTCTACTTACCTTGTAAATTGTTAAATTATTTTAGTCAACATTTATAATTTTTATTTTTCCCACAAAGATGATTATAACTAAACATACGCACATAGTAAAGCGTGTCACAATTTCATAAATCATAACCTTAACTATAAAATCAATTTATTTTAGTTGTTATATTAATTATCTGTTTAAGTTTTTTCAGAAAATAATTATTTTAAATATTGTAGTGCTTAATAACTACACATATAAAAGTATAAAATATATTTCAGGTGATAGCTATTATTTTTATGTTGTTTATAATAAGGTAAATATTTATATGTTTTAATACTTTTATTGGGCGTCCGGGAATTGAGCCTCAAAAAATTTTACACTCAAAATATGTAGAATGGTATTAGAGGCATTATTTAAAACGATTTATTTTATTTTTGAATCCGGTAAGTAGGAGAACTTGAATTAAAAATTATTATTAAAATAAGAAGCATTGGAACATTAAAGCCAGAAACCAGGAAACAAACTTTAATTCGAAAGAATAATAATAGCCATAATGAGATTAAAAAATACAAAAAAGGTTTTAAAACTAGATTTGTATTAGCGAAATTCTTTAAAAAAAAATAGTAGTATTTTTAGGTAATTGATTGAAAAAGTTAATAAATATTTGTCTAATGTTATGCAATTAGGTACCGATTTTTATATTTTATATTTATTAAAAAAAAACAATCACGAAAATATTAATCAGTTGTATAGGTATCGGTTTGGATGAAATAAAGTTTTTTATTTATGGAAATAACAAGATTTACGAACGCACAAACTATGTGCACAAATTATTATTCCACGTATCTCAATAATATTACATAGGTACTTATATATTTATATCCAAAAATATATGTGTTGACGCGATTTTTCGACGTAAAAACGTTGAAATTGACAAACATTGTTTTAAAATGTTTGCAGTATGATTTGTTTTTTTTTCTTGCGGTATTTTATTAAATGTAGTTACCTATCTATTATTGTAGAACGGTGGACGGCCGGCAGGGTCAAAGAAGCGCGCTATCACAAGGTGAACGAAAGAAAGAAAAATTGAGAAGGAGAGTGATAGTTGATGTTACTAAACGAATTACAAAAAGTGAATGTTTTGCCCGCATCCAAGTTGTCCGTTTCCCAGGTGTATAAGAAGCGTCGTTAACTTTAGCTCATCATCAGTCAGTCGTTCTACCGTGAGTGAACAACTATCAGTTTATTCTAGTGGTGCATTTGTGTTTAGTTTGTGTTCAAAATATCCAGCATGATGAAAGCACGCTTTGTAGTGAGTACCAGAAACACTTTATACATTTACAAACGTCCAGTTCGTTAGAGTTTATTTTAAAACACTTTGATTTTTTTTCATCGTTGAAAATATTATAAGACATTTTATTTCGAGTACACAAAACTAAACATACTATTTTTATACTTACTTATTTTTCTATCGAGTAAATAATAATTTTATAAAAATTAAAACATTAACGTTTCTCAAAAACCAATTTATCACTCCGGCTTTATTACAATAATACGTTTATCGACAGAGTCCGTTCGTGTTTTTACAATGTAAAATCTCGAATATGACTTTGATCGCTTAAATTCGATTCGATACTCTCAAAATTTTTATTGACTGGCCAAGGTATCTAACTGACAATTATTATGTGTTATTACAGGTGTTGGCGTCGCTCGCGACATTAGCACTCGCAAGACCCGAAGCTGGATACTCTTACAGCTCACCATCGTCAGGTGGTTACTCTTCCGGTAGCACCGGCCTGAGCTTCTTGGGCGGTGGTGGCGGCGGTGGTTACTCGAGCGGCGGTGGCGGCGGTGGTTACGCCAGCGGAAGCTCCGGTTACGCCAGCGGTAGCTCCGGTTACTCCGGCCCAATCAGCTCCGGTGGATACTCCAGCGGCGGCATTTCCGGCGGATACTCCAGCGGTGGTAGCTCCGGTGGATACTCCAGCGGCGGTGGTTCCGGATACTCCAGCGGTGGTGGTTCCGGATTCTCCAGCGGTCCAATCAGCTCCGGATACTCCAGCGGTGGCTCAGGATACGCCAGTGGATCGTCGGGCTACAACTACGCCCCGGCCGCCCCAGTAGTGCAGAAACACATCTACGTTCACGTGCCACCACCAGAGCAAGAATATGTTGCCCCACAACAAATCCAACAGATTGCCCCACCCCAGAAACACTACAAAATCATCTTCATCAAGGCCCCAACCCCACCAACCCCGACCGCCCCGATCATACCACAAGTGCAACAAGACTCCGAGAAGACCCTGATTTACGTTCTGGTTAAGAGGCCCGAAGACCAACCACAAATCTCCATCCCAACACCGGCACCAACCGCGCCATCCAAACCGGAAGTATACTTCATCAAGTACAAGACCCAAAAGGAAGCCGGCGGTTACGCAGGAGGCTCCGGCTCCAGCTTCAGCGGACCCACATCGGCAGGTGGCTACAGCGGTGACTCAGTCGGACACTCCGGCGCATCTCTGTCCTCCAGCGGTCCCGGATCCAGCTACGCATCCCCAAGCGTATCCAGCCCATCGTCCAGCTACGGATCCCCGAGCGCCAGCCCATCATCCGGCTACGGTGCCCCGAGCTCCAGCGGATCTTACTAGGGTGTTCGATTCAAACGTGATTTTATAACATTGTCGTCCTTGCGCACACGCTTCGCGCCGGTGGCCGCGGAAAACCGTTGATTGTTACTTTTCCACGGTCAGTGAACATTTCGAGAAGCGTAGCCACCCTCCACACACAGTTATACCCCAAACATCCCTCTCCCGTCCCTCCTTAATACTAGCCCCTTAGCCCCCATCCCGCTCCTCCTCCCTCCCATAAATGAAATTGTAACATATTTTATAATATCCATGTAAACTATTTTATTTGTGTTTTATATTTTGTTTATTTTTTTTTTAACGAAAATCGCGATTTTATATTATATTTTTTCTATTATTTTTTATTAGTCTCAAGCTCAATTTCCAAAACGCGTATATTATACAATATAATACGCTATCGTAATTTTACTAGCTGACTTATATTAGAACACATAATATAATAATATTGTTGTCATGATTTATATTAATACAAAATATACAATTCAATTTTTTTATAATTTTATTCTTATTTTTTTCGTTTTTATATCCATCGTCTACGCTTAGAATAATAATATGGTTATTATACTTTTCTAGCGCGATATTATTGTAAATACCGATGTTATAATTTAAGTACCAGCTGTAAGCAACAGGTAGTATACACGCCAACGCATATTGTTTCTACAACTTACCTGTACCACCATAGATGCAGCTGCATGTATCGTAATTTGCATAATATTTTCTTTCGATACCTTCTTATACTGCACAGTCGTATAAAATAATATACTGTAGGTACAACAGAATAGTGGTATACCTATAAAATATCTAACTGTAGCTTGTAATATCTCTGCCGATTAGGCAGGCCGGAAGACGAATCCTTTGAATTCCGGTGTAACCCGGAGACTTTCGCCCAGTACTCGAATTATGTATTATTTTAATTTTAATTATAACGACGGCGGCGGTGGCCGAACCGTGGCGGCGATTCGCGCAATGGAAAAGGCGAAGAAAAAAATAATAATAATAATAACAGTTGCGTTTGCCCCGTAACGATATGGCGATGGCACGCGGCGACCCGCCGCATATTATTATTATAATCGCGCGTTCGGGTGTCCGATAATGATAAAACAACAAAATACCAGAAATCAAATTAAATACGAAACAACACGAAATTTCATCCGACCGGCACTTTCGCCCATCACGACCACCGCACACACCTTTCTCCGCGGCCGCGCAACGGAATAAAATAATAATGCGTATGCTCGTGTATAACCTACCCATACCTACCCGCCTACCTATATAATGTAATACATAACAGTGGCGACGCGATGACCCCGACCGGTGACCCGTGAGCGACGTGGGCGAAACGGAGTGAAAACACGAGATAAATATAATATATCGTCATAATAATATTATTATTATCATTGCCCGTCTCTGCCTATATTATAATATTATATTATTGCCATACTTGCTTAGATACCCCCTGATCTCATGCCCGTCCAGTGGTACCTACCTGTTGCAGTAATACTAATAGTGATAATATTGGCGACGACCTTCAAGCGCGTCATCTTATTCACTGACCGTCCGACCGGCCTTTCGAGAGAGCTGCCACCTGCGATCGCACCTAGGTACATGGAATCACGTGGCATTGCAAAAATATCACTGAGTATACAGATTTACTGGAAATTTTTCGTCGCTGCACGTCCGTCCAGTTCTTCGACGCTCAAGTTTTAATATAGGGTAGGTTCGCAGTTATTTTTCAGAAAGTTGTTTGACAGGTACTATTTTTTTCTTAACTTTAGTTTAAAGTACATGGATGCCGAATTAATATTAATATTGTTAACTTTAAAAACTGTATGCACTAGAGATATTATTAAAACTTAAATTTTTTTTTTTTTTACACGACACGACCATGATAGGCCCTTAATCCATCATACATTTTACATTATATTATTTATTTGTTTGTTTAAACGCTTGTGAAGGCTCAAGTACAATATAAGAATACATTCAAGTATTCAATATACTGTCTAGCGATAGATTAATCTTCAGTGCATAAATTAGAATAACTCTGATATTATACCTCGTTCAAATGTCATTTGAAACACAATGATGTAAAAAAATAAATCACAAACTAATTTTTAATTAATTCCCAGCAAAAAGGTTTCTTTGAAAAAAAAAGATTTTTTTATTGCCACAAGATAGCACCCCTTAAATTTCAGTGTCTTTCAATCAGAATTTAAATAAATGCATAACAAGTGAGAATGATTTAAGAGATCATCCAATTTTTCCGCAAAACAAAAATAAATGAAACAACTTGATGTGGTCACGTTATTCGTTAAACCCCATAACATAATATCATACATGTGTGTGTGTGTG